CCGTCCTAGTCGAACCCGTCGCTCGCGACGAAGGGCTCGACGAGCAAATTAACCCATAGACACAGCCCACTGGGTTTCTCGCCGGATTTTCTCAGTGGGTCGCGTTTGGTAGATTCTGCGAAGCACTGCTCTTGCTAGGGCCAATGTTAACAACACTTCCGGTTTGAGCCGAGCTCACGTTCATGTAAGGGTGAAGCTAAAATAGCCTCTCAAGGCTATCAGCATAGGTAGGAAAAAGAAAACAAGATACATTACATGCTTACAAGATCTAAATGTATGATTTATGATCTAAAAATGTACATAAATCTGAATAAAGTTAAATGATGAATATTGTTTTACATTAACGATTTAAAATTCAAGTATTTTACACAGCGTACTTTTTTATTGTATTATTCATTTCGTTACTTTGTAAAAGAATATTAAAAATGATGAAATGTTCTCCTATTACTTATTTAATTTAAAGAAGCCTACAAAATTCATCAGACGAAAACTATTTGATACTTGAACTTCTATACAATCCAATTGAATATTAAATATTATTTGGCTAAAATTAAATATAATGTACAAAGGAATGTTTGTCATTTGTGACTGTTGTAAACAGAATCGAGAAGCAAAAAATACATCATAAGATAATTCCTGACAAATTACTTTTACTGAGCGCTGTGGATTTTTATTTTTTACAGAATATGCCTTTTTTTATTGCTTAGATGGGTGGACGAGCTCACAGCCCACCTGATGTTAAGTGGTTACCAGAGCCCATAGACATCTGCAACGTAAATGCGCCACCCACCTTGAGATACAAGTTCTAAGGTCTCAGTTTACAACGGCTGCCCCGCCCTTCAAATCGAAACGCATTACCGCTTCACGGCAGAAATAGGCAGGGTGGTGGTACCTACCAGTGCGGATTCACAAGAGGTCCTACCACTAGTAACTACGCAAATTAAAATTTTTAGGCAGAACCACTGCGTTCATCTACAGTATTTTTGGCAGGTACCATGCGGCTTTGGAATCAACTTGTTCTCTCGAAATTTTCCTGAGCACTATGACATGTCCTCCTTCAAACGAGGCTTACGGAGAAGTTTTAGTGGTAGGTAAGGACTTCGCTGTGCCTCTGATACTACTAACTACTGACCTTCATAATGGACGGTAACCACTCATACCAGGTTGGTCACATTCTCATCTCCCTACAAGGGCTTTCAAAAAAAACAACAACCTCAATCCCGTTGATGATGATCTATTATATATAAAAATTAATTGCTGTTCGTTAGTCTCGCTAAAACTAGAGAAAGGCTGGACCGATTTGGCTAATTTTGGTCTTGAATTTAATTTTGGTCTTGAAGTCCAGAGAAGGTTTAAAAGGTAGATAAATATGAAAATGCTCAGAATTAAATAAAAATAACAATTTTGTTTACCCTTTGATGTGTCCCCCATCGGATAGATTCCTTTTGTTTGTTTTAAGTTTATTTTATACAAAAGCTTAGGTCTTTTATTTATCGACTGAGGCACTACGAAGTCGGCCGGGTCAGTTAGTTGTTAATAAAAAAGTGATAAAAATTCGAATCTATACTTCATTCTGTCCGGTTACCCAAACTATTTTACTTAGAGAGACTATTAAGACTATTTATATGGTTAGAGATTAGATCTGAAAGGTCATGAAAAATGATATAATGTAGATTGTGATCATTAAATACATTTTTTTAGTAAGCCTACGCTCTTTCGAAGTGTTATTAGATATGCGTTATTATATATGATGGCAGGAGACTTTCATTACCAAGTGTTGGATGTAACAAAAGAACTATAAGTTTGAACATCGTAATAGATATTTGAGACGATGTTTGACTTCATTTAAAAAAACAGCTTCTATGACAAATCTATCAACGAACGTAAAACTTAATAATGCAAAGAGAAAATCAGAACTGAGTGTTAAATAATACAAGTACTTTATGAATATCTTCAAATACTTATGAATGTAGCAAAACTAATACTTTATAAACAGACATTAAATCTACATATAATCAAACAAATACAATATACAATCAAAACATACAACATTATGCGCACCATTTGCTCATTTTCGAATAGGATCCCAATTTATTTATTCCAACAACATAAGGGCATTCCCAATAGGGCAGATTTAAATGCAATTTGATTACCCTAAACTTAATAGATATCCAATACCGTTTTAAAGTATGGCTGTATGGCTATTGGCGTACTCATTAAATTTTGAAATCAATGTTACAGCACTTTATACTGTAATGTAATAATATAAAAACCGGAAACAATTCACACACGTTTATCTGGCCCCAAACTAAGATTTCCCCTACTGTGGAAACCAGAGACCGATTGATATAATTTTTTTTTGTTGCTTAGATGGGTGGACGAGCTCACAGCCCACCTGGTGTTAAGTGGTTACTGAAGCCCATAGACATTTAAAACTTAAATGCGCCACCCACCTTGAGATATAAGTTCTAAGATCTCAGTATAGTTACAACGGCTGCCCTACCCAGCAAACCGAAACGCATTACTGCTTCACGGCAGAAATAGGCAGGGCGGTGGTACCTACCCGTGCGGACTCACAAGAGGTCCTACCACCAGTAATTACGCAAATTATAATTTTGCGGGTTTGATTTCTATTACACGATGTTATTCCTTCACCGTGGAAGTCAATCGTGAACATTTCTTAAGTCTTAGGCCACAACGACTTCAAATACTTACAGATATACGCATAACTAAATACATATGTGTATAAATTAAATAATGAGATATTGAACAAACAAACTTGGTCATAAGAAAAATGTTTGCACGATGTTTGGAACCAAATCAAAGACTCTTGGCCCAAGAGTCAGTGGCACTAACTACTTCACCGTCGTTTCAGTCAAAAAAGCACTGTAAGTATTTACTTTTTTATGTACACAGAATACCGTGTAACTTCTAAACTTTTGAATATGAAATAATATTAAATATAAATAAATATTTACTAACAATCACGCCACGTTAACTGGTCCCGGGCTAAGTTCGTAAAGAACTTGTGTTACAGGTACCAGATAACGGAAATAAATGTAAGATTTTATGACATACATCACATACATATATTTAATATACATCCATAGCCCTGGAAAAAAACATTTTTATATTTATCATACAAATATCTTCCCTTGGCGGGATTCGAACCCGCGACCCCTTGTTTAGTGACCATGTCACTTACCACTACACCGACGGCCGTTAGATAGACTCAATTCAATAGAAAGAAGAATACCTAAAATGTTTTTGGTTCAGAACGAACCCAATTTCCAGTGACTTAATTACATTCTTCACTACTCGTATCTATCTAAGATCAGTTCGTAATCAGTAGTCGACGTGCTTCCAGATCGGCAGATACAGCGGCCACTATACACCCTCGGCCTCCAGTTACAGAGCTCACACGAAATCCGGTATTTAATTTGAAAAGTTTCAAACAAAACAAGACCTTGTTTCCGTTTTGTGAGATTATTTGATGAATGAAGTTTGAAGAAGCCAAAGTGTGCCGGAGAGATTGGAGTGGCCCGACGGGCGTTTGGGCTTTGTTTACGGTTTTGTGGGTGAATATTAAGTGTGTGAGGTTTTTATTGTTTTTTAGAGTGGAAATTGAGATGAGAACCTCGAAAGAACTCTCTGTTTCTTTATACATTATTTGTACTCTCCGTGATTAAAATTTAAAGCACTCTCTACGCTTTTCCAATAACGTTCTTCGCTTTAGTTTATTTATCAGAAAATTAATCTCGGGGGTAGATTTATGAAAATTTATACACATTATAGAAGTTTTCGTATCACTTCTATTAATGAATTGAATATAATTTTTAATTAAAATTTACGGTAAAAAATTTAAATTTGATTAAATTTTAAATTTTCACTTTAAAAACAGTGTAAAGCGCTAACTAGAATCGCCTAACTACCGACACATTAGATTTTTAGCACTACTTTACGTCTGTCTCGTAGCTCAACTAATATTTGTATGCATGAAACAATTCAATAAAATACAATACTGCCAAATGTCAGAAAGAATAGAATACAGTGTACATTTCTTTTATTTTATTTTTATTTCGCTTAGTTGAAAACCCCAGTTAACTCCACTTTGAATAGCATCAGCTGAGCCACCTATCATTTATGTACCCCTCATAATCGAAATCTGTGTAAAAGACCATAAATGATTTATTATTATTATTACAACTTAGCTAAATTAAAATGAATGACGAAATCGTATTCAGGAAATAAATTATTGTTACGCTGGTAAGAGTAACGCCATCTATCGAACGCCGAATAGTCGAACGAATATCGAAGGACCTAGTAGTACCTAGAACGCTCGAGGAGTACAACGCCATCTATTGTCAGATAGCGGAAACACAATACTAGAAGTGCGTGGAATATTCTCGATAATTCTGGGGATGAGGTATCGGCTATAAAAGCGTTGTAGAGATGGCACGCAATCAGTTGTTAATTTAACTAACACCAGTAATTTCCAAATTATTCTTTGTTTGTTTGTTTGTTTCTGGGTCGCATTGACTTGGTGAGTAAGTCGGTAGGGAGCAGCGGTATTGATCGCGCGACCGTGGGCTCGGGCTTGACATCGATCTCACTGATCTGGTGTTAGGTTCGTGGCTCCCGGTCGAAGCCGTGGTCAGCGGCTGCCTGCAGACAACCCGCTGACTCAATGCATGACTACGTATGTTCGTTGTCTGTTATCGTATTATTGTATGGTATTGTGTAGTTAGTTCTTTTACTTCTTTTATTACTTATTTTATTCTAATTCTTTCCAAATTAGCAAGTTTATATAGTCCAATAGTTATATAAGTAGCATCAATAGACCGGAACCATATTTATATATAATATTATTTATAAGTATTTATTCAGTCGGTCTGAACCCCCGTAAGGGATTGTATCTTTATATATTTCTAATTCATTTGTAATTTAATAAGGCACTGATGCCTGGTGACCCTGCTGCTGCCCACTAGATAGCCAATATCATGTCGGGGGGGACATCTCCCCCCATTATCAGCACGCCCGGTCCGTCCCGCAAGGGACGCCAAGCGATGGCGGGAATTTTCGCCCATCGCTCCCAACCCACCGGCCCGGAAATGGACTCCGGAAAGGACGACCGGCCCAGGCCTTCGGTCGCGGCCCAGGGGACTCCGAGGATTCGTCCAGAGGAAACTTCGTCTCCCCCGTTGACGGATCGCTCTGGACCCCCTCGGCCGCGAAAGAAGGTCAGATCCGAGTCCGACCGAAGCATTTCCGAAGCCCAGGACAAACGACCCCGAATTGGACCCTCGTCCAAATCAATAAATGAAGCCGAAGAGGATGAGGACAGCGAGGAGACTTCCTACGAGACAACGGACTCAGAATATGAGTCCGATGTAACTCATTCTTCTCGCTCCTCTTCTTCCTCGAGTAAGGAGTCCCCCCCCACTCGCAAGCCCATTCCCAGACCGAGGATGTGTGTCGAGACGGCCGTGGCTGCAGCAGCTAAGCAGCTGCGTACGCCTCCTCGGTCTCCCTCTCCTCCAATCTCACCCATTCCAACAATCCCGCGCAGAGGTGCCCCCACTACAAGCTGCACAGTGGGCAACCTTGAATCAACAAGGTACATGGACCTCGAACATTCCAAACCTACGACCGGTGCACCCGAGTCCCCGACCCCTTCAACTTCATACGCTGCTATGGCAGCCAAGCAATTCGCTCCCACCAAAAATACTCAATGTAATCCCCCTGCTCCAGGTAAGTCCGGTAACAGCGTGGTCCCCCGCCGCCATCCCCCTATTATGGTCGAGGCGCTCCCCAATTGGTCCCGCCATATGGCGGCCTTAAGGGAGCGCTTGGGGAGGGCCCCATCTGTGCGTCCATATGGAACAGGGTTTCGATTTCTGCCTGCGTCGGGAGAAGAATATAGGGTTGTCCAGGCCTATCTCGTCGGGGTCTCCTCCACAGACAATGCCATTAAATGGTATTGTTACGCGTTGGAGGAGGAGATCCCGGCGAGGGTGGCTATTCGAGGACTGCCTGCCGACACCGACCCGACAGAAATCGTTAACTCCCTGAAGGAGCTAGGGTTTCCGGCTCGCTACGCGCGGTGTATACGGGCCAAGAGAGGGCGGCCAGGTTGCGTCTTTTACGTAACCTTGGACCACCTCTCGAAAGATGACCTCGCCCGCTTGTACGCAGTTGAAGAACTGATGTACTTGCCGGGGGTGTCAGTTGAGGGATGGCGTTCGAGCCGAGGACCTGCGCAGTGTCATCGCTGCCAGGCCTTCGGACACGCCTCCAGCAACTGCCACCGAGCGGTCCGCTGCGTACGATGTGCGGGTGAGCACATCGTGGCGGACTGCCCGAGGCCAAGGGAGGGACCCTTCACCTGTGCCAACTGCGGGAAGGGCCATGCCGCTGTTGACAAGCGGTGTGTGGTCTACCGCAGGTGAGCACGGATGATGGGGGTCACTATTCCTCCCCCCGTACCGCCAGCGACGCGTGCTGTTCAAGCCCCTACCCCCGCTCCACGTATCGCTCCACTCCCATCTCGGAAGGGCAAGGGCAAGGGAAAGACATCCCAAGCCCCTACTCTCCCTCCGGTTAACAGACAACCTGCTACTGTGGAGGCCAGCCCAACAGCGGCCACCCTAATGGCAGAGGCGAACCCACAGCGACAGGCTACAAAGCCGCGACCTGCCCCTCGTGTTAGCAATAAGGCAGTATTTAATTTGCAACCTGCCCTAACCAAAACCCAAAAAAAAAGTAAAAAGAAAAACATTAAGGCCAAAGAAAGGAAAAAAAAGGAAATGGAAGAAGCAGCTGCCCTTAGGGAAGGCCAAGTTGCGCCAACGAATGAGCCTCCGATAACGACTGAACCTCCATGCCCCTTGGAGACAACAGACATCGACCCGTCCCAGAACGTAAATATCACTCTGGGCGACCCACAGCCCCCACTACCACCCCGCCCGCAGAAAGAGCGGCGCAGTGGTCGACAGGACACGCAGCCTGCCGGCTTCGCTGCCTGGCTCCTCTCCCTGTGGGAGAAACTGTCCGAGGTGATCTCCGGAGTAATCCGAGAGATCGCCTCGGGAGCCAGTCCCTTCGGGGCCTTGCTCGCGGGGTTCTACCGGATGATTGCGCAGCTCAATGGCTAGCCAGGAGCTGCGCATCATCTACTGGAACCCCGACGGGATAGGGTCCCGGAGGTCGGAGCTCATCCGACTCGCCCAGGAGTATGACCCGCAGGTTATCCTCCTGGGCGAGACCAAGCTCAAACCTCGACAAGATTTTAGGATGCCCAACTACTTCGTGTACCGACGGGACGAACTGACCTCCAACGGGCGCCCGTTCAGGGGCACTGCGGCGCTCGTCAGGAGGGACGTGGTGCACGAGGAGCTTGAGCTACTGACCTTCGCCTCTACCAGAACGGTCGGGGTGAGGGTCCACGTACCGGGGGCCGAATTGCGGATTTATGCCGCGTATCGACCCCCGGGTCCTGATTTTGTCGAGGACGATATTAGACGGGCCTTGAACCATGATCGCCATCCGGCCTTGGTGGTCGGGGACCTCAATGCGAAACATGTCGCTTGGGGCTCCCGAATCATCACGCCGCCCGGAAGGCGATTGTACGAGGATGCCGAAAGGGGGGACTACTGCGTGGTCGGCCCCAACGAACCCACACACGTTCCAACGTTGGCCCGGTACCAACCGGACGTATTGGACGTGTGTGTTCACAAGGGGCTACAGTGCCCTCTAGCGATAGAGGCACTGTACGACCTGAGTACCCCTCACCTACCGATCTTGGTCACGGTGGGTTTGGGGCTCACTCGGGTCGCGACATCCCCTCTCAGGCCTAGGGTCGACTGGCAGTCCTTTACGGGACTGCTGGCCGACCAATCCTTGTTTCAAGACCCGTCTACCCCTGATGAGGTCGACACGGCGGCTTCCCGTCTCGTCGACACCATCAGGGGAGCCCTGGACCAAGCGACGACTCTGGTACCCAGCGGGGGGCCCAGAGCGGAACTCCCGGTGCACCTCAAGACGTTAATTCGTCGGAAGAGGGCACTGAGGAGGCTCTGGGCGACATCTAGGTGTCCCAGGATTAAGCGCGAGCTAAACCGACTTGAGGATGAGCTGGCGACTAAGATGCGGACTTACCGGGGTGACACCTGGGAGGGGAGACTGTCGGACGCGTCCGACGACCGTACGATGGCCCCCCTTCACCGCATCTGTCGCCGGCTCACGAACAAGCCTTTCCCCACTTGCCCCTTGGAGGACGAGGGGGGAAGACGGTGTTTTACACCGTTGGCTCGTGCTGAAGTCCTGGCCAACTCGCTGGAGCGGCAGTTCACTCCGAATGTCTCTGCACCCTCGATGGTTGCATTCCATCGGGAGGTGTCAGAGGGCGTAATCCAACTCCTCAAACCGGAATCGCCGGGAGTCGAGCTGGGAGGTGACGATCTAGTCACTCCCAGGGAGGTGCGCCTCCTCATCAAGCTGATGAAGAGGCGCAAAGCCCCCGGCGAGGACGGTATTCCCCCCCTCGCCCTAAAAAATCTCCCTCCTTCAATTGTGTCAGCAATGACACGATTGTTTAATTCCATTCTCCGGGTAGGACACTTCCCTGGAACTTGGAAACTGGGCAAGATCATCGTCTTGCCCAAATCCGGCAAGGACAGGAGAAAGCCCTCCAGTTACCGACCGATTACCTTGCTTTCGCACGTGGGCAAGTTGTTCGAGCGGCTGCTCCTGAGGAGAATATCGCCGTATATTCTCCTCAGGCCGGAGCAATTCGGCTTTAGAAGCGGCCACTCGACGACTCTGCAACTGACCCGTGTCCTGCATCACTTGGCGGACCGGCGAAACTCAGGCCAATACACGGTCGCGGTCCTTCTCGATATCGAGAAGGCCTTCGACCGTGTGTGGCACGAGGGGCTGGTCCACAAGCTGCGGGACGCGGGCCTACCGCACGCTCACGTGCGACTGCTCGGGTCGTATCTGGAGGGCAGAACCTTCTTTGTCGCGGTCGAGGGCGCACGGTCTTCCGTGCGTCCCATTACGNGGACCGGCGAAACTCAGGCCAATACACGGTCGCGGTCCTTCTCGATATCGAGAAGGCCTTCGACCGTGTGTGGCACGAGGGGCTGGTCCACAAGCTGCGGGACGCGGGCCTACCGCACGCTCACGTGCGACTGCTCGGGTCGTATCTGGAGGGCAGAACCTTCTTTGTCGCGGTCGAGGGCGCACGGTCTTCCGTGCGTCCCATCACGGCCGGGGTTCCCCAGGGTAGTGTCCTATCACCTATCCTATACGCCCTCTACACTAATGACATCCCCACACTGGAGGGTCACCTTCAGGCGTGGGAGGAGGTCGTGAAGTTGGCCTTGTTCGCTGACGACTCGGCCTACTTCTCGTCCTCTCCGTTCCCCTCTGCAGCCATTATGAGGATGCAGAGGCTTTTGGATTTACTGCCCCAGTGGCTGGACCGTTGGAGAGTCGCGGTCAATGTGGGAAAGACCACGGCCTTGCTCTACGGTCTGGTCCGTATCAGAGTCGTCCCAAAGAAACTCAGCCTCCGAGGTGTGAATGTCGAGTTCAGGACCACGGTCCGGTATCTCGGATGCGATATCGACCGCTCCTTGAGCATGGTCGCGCACGTCAACCGAGTCATCGGTCAGACTCGCGCGGCCAGGTTCTTGTTGCGGCCGGTGCTTGCGTCCGGGCTTCCGACCAGGACCAAACTCGCCATTTACAAGACATACGTCCGTTCCCGCCTTACATACGCTGCTGAGGCCTGGTATCACCTGTTGTCGCCGTCCCAGCGATCTAGGTTGCAGGCCCAGCAGAGTCTTTCCCTCCGCATTATCGTCAAGGCCGGGCAGTACGTCAGAAATGACGTTATTGCCCGGGACCTAGGTGTGGAGTCGCTCGTGGAGTTTGTGACTAGGCTCGCCCGTAATATGTACGAGCGAGCTGAAAATGGGCCCCATGAGCATCTCCACAACATAGCCCCGCTGCACGCCAGACCACCGGATGGTACGGCGTTGCCGCGGGAGCTATTGGTACCCCCGACGATCATTCGGAGTTAAAGCTCCTCACCGGCTGTGAGGCCGGGGAGGACCTATGAGCGCCCCTCTCGGAGCTGAGTTTCATCAGCCTCTAGTCCCACGCCTCTTGCCCGTTTGGCGGGTCTCCCGTATGGGGACCGCGGCTGCACCCCGTAGGTGCAGCCTCATTTCCATTAGGGGCTTTGACCCTACCCCCCACCCCCTTTTGGGATGGGGTGTTCATACCCGCTACAGTCCTCCCTCCCATCAAAATTGTAACAATGGGGAGAGGGGGGGAGGACTCTAGCGAGGAGTGCGGCTTGCTCTCTCCCCCATGCTAGGTTAGTTAGGTTAAGTTAGATTAGGTTTAGGTTTAGGTGTGACGGCGCGCGCTGCCCCGGCACTCCACGGAGTGCAGGAACGGCGCGCTGCTGTCACTTAGATGTAAGTTAGATTAAGTTAGGTTTAGTTTAGGTTAAAAAACCATGGTGGAGAGAAGCGGCCGCCCCCTGCTGACAACGAAGAAGTTAGAGAAGGAAGAAAGAAGAAAAAGCGATCCCACCCAACATCACAACTCCAAGCCTGCTTCACTCAGTCCTGCAGCGCACCACCCCTGCCTCGATAGGCGGGGAGTTATATGCCCGGGCAGAGGGGTTTCCCCGAGGCCCGCTCCGTGCCCCCGCAAGGGGGTACGACGACCCCGACTGACTGTAGCCCTCATACAACGCAAGATAATTGACAGATGCCTGAATCTCGCTTACGACATTTTCAAGATAAGTTCGCCTACCGAGCAATATCACCCGCTCGGTGGAAGATCTTCCCTTTGTCGTTAAACATTCCACATATAATATGATATAATGATATCTTGATGTATTTACTCTATTTTACTATATTTGTGTCGAACGGGACGATGCGAACACAAGAACACACACTACAATAAATCGATTCGAAGACAACGTATACAGAACACCCAGTCTTGTTCTAGAGTTAATTATTGAAATAAATTGTTTGATTTCTATCAAAATAAAAATTACAAAAGGTCAAGAAAAGTGACGGTTCATTTCTTTGTGAACGAAACAAAGTAAAGTAATGTAAAGCATGGTTCTGGCCTCATAGATGCGCTGGGGCGCTTTCTCAATGACGTGGCTTCGTAACGTGGGAACAGGTCAAATTATTTTTCAACATTACACCGGAACTGTGGCTGTAACCGGAAAAGCAGGTGTCGATTTTAAATTCAAACCTACTCAAAACTTCAACTCAGCGTGACACCGTTCGTTCGTTATATTAAGAAAGGAATTCGCTGTAAAGTGACAATGTTTGGCGTTTCACATAAAACTATTTTTAAGAACGTAAAAGTAAACTAAAATTAGTGTTCTTGCTCTATAAATCCCCGATGACGTGTA